TCTTGGCACGATAATTTTCCACACGTAACTGGATATTTAGAAGATCGCGGAATATCTTGAGAAAGGTTCCATTCTGAGTTTTGTTAAAATTTTAGGGGCAACCGGATATACCCAAATCGACATCCTGTCGAACGTTGACGCCTCAAAGTTTTCATTATTCGCGGTCCCCGCGATGATGGGGGCGCTTGGATTTTTTCGACCCTGCATGCCTCCCTCAATTGCGAACACCTTACTTCTCGAGTGTCGAGATGGTTGGGGCGATCAGGACGCCGAGTTATGGTTACGGATCATCAATGGCTGTTTCCAAGGGTGGGTGTGGTTCTCGGTGGCAGCAGTTATCGTCACCACGATTATCCTGGTGCTCATTTATCCTGCGGTAATGGTGGAATTGTGGATCAAGGTTATTGAAAAGTGAGATCTTGCACTAATAAATAATGTGTAAATAAATAGTTGTGAGTGATTATCTTGGATTTTGTTAGGACAAATTTTAAACTTCTGACTCACATATTTTTTTGCATTTTCTTGATTAGGTGTTTTCTTGGCGAATTTCAACAATTTTTTAAAGTTTTTGGACTATTATTTTCAGAATTTCACAATTTGCTAGTTTGTTCTTGAGATCCTGTCAAAATTTAATAACTGCGTTTTATGAAATGAAAAAGTCGAAAATGCGCGGATTTTAGGAAACACAAAGATCTAAATCGGATTCTGAGTGGGAACAGTTTAAACCTTGTCAAATAAAAATCCAAGATAACCACCTCACACATTCACATTGGGACTTTGTTTAAATCAAATTTTCACAATACTTAGGCAGCTGGATCCTGACTTTGGAATTCATGGATTAGCTGCTTTCCGTGTCGCTCAAGTATTTCAAAACCTGACGAATTCCGTCATGAGGAAGCCTGTCATCAACTTTTTCATCCTCCTGACCATCCTTGGTGAAGTCCTGTCACTCTACGTGATCATAACCTGCTGGGAAAACCTGAGTTTCGGCGTGGCCGTATTTTTCTATTTGATGGGAATCGATTTCTTTGTGATAATTCAAATCACACTAAATTCACAGAGTAAATCGTACGTTGCGAGCGAAAACTTCGCAAAAAATATGAAACGTTTGAAGTCACAAAATCCTTGGATTAGGAAATTTTTGAGGTCGTGTCCTCCCTTAAAAGTGGGTATGGGAGATGGCAAGTTCTTTGATGCATTGACAGCATTCGTTATTTGGCAGTTTTGCGTGGATAAATTGATTAGTATGTTGCTTCTCGAGAAATAAGATAAATGCCGGAATGATACATACGTAGAACTTGGATTATTTGACATTTCGTTGTCAATCCGGTTTAATGCAAAGAGTTTGAATAGATAGAAACTTTCATGGAAAGATCCTTACGTTAGCATAGTCAGATGTGGAAATTAGCGATATTCACCATATTTACCATAGCTGCTTGGCTTTGGAGGTTAGCACCAGTGCCTCTAGCAGTCAGAGGTTTATGGTTCGATCCCTCAGAGCTCGTCATCTTGGGCTCCCTCCGTGGGTATCAGTAGCAATCACCGCAGCTGGCCATATAGTAGAGTGGACTAAGCATCCTACCCTATGTTAGTATTCGGGTTCAAAGCTGCAGGCAATATCGTAGCAGCGAGAGTGATGGGTTGTGGTGTGGCAGTTTGGTACTACTGAGCCAGAACATGCTTCTGCTTCCAGACCTAGCCGGTTGATTACCTCATTTCGCTTGATTGGTTTCTCGGTCCTCCTGTCTCATCAACAGATTTGAGGACTAAGCCTGAGATACAGAGCCACTGGCATACCACTGGCCGTAAGAGTAAGAAGCATACTATCCTCGCATTTAGGCGTGTCACCTCATTTGCATAAATCTCAATAGCCCATTTTCGGCGATACGGGCTTCTTTCCATGTTGAGTAAACTCTATGACTCTCACGAATGCGTTAGAATATGCAAACGAGGTGACAGAGCCGAGTACGAGGACAGTATGCAGTAGTTTTAACACACATCATCGTTTTTAAACTTATTTCCAGAATCTGAAGCAATCTCGTATGAATGCTTCACCTTTAGCCCAACACAGTCAACTCCGCTCAACGTAACTTTATTAATGGAGGCACAATGTCGAATATTTGAAAATCCCGCCATCGTCTGGCGCATATGGGCAAATAGCTTCAGCCTCTATGCTTGTGCCTCACCCTCTGTACATAGATATATCAAAATAACAACACTTGCACGATAGTAATTAAAGCGGATAAAAAGTGCAATTTTATCCAATTTTATCCATATTTGTTTATATAGATGATTTGAGAGAAGTGTTACTCCATGAAAAAAGATAATTTTTTGCACATTCGCTAAATTATGACACCGCCGCTCTTACATTAATACAATTGCCTATTTACATACATATTTAAAGTCATGAAAATGCAATTCTTTTAATGGTAGCCCCCTAATTGCGAAGGTAAAATTAGACTACTTAAGAAATTGGTCTGAATTGGCAATTACGCACGCGCCTTAATTATTTACTGGTTAAGTTTTTTATGTCTACAGTAATAAAAAAGTTATGTGCAGAATCATCATGTGAAAAAGTTGGCGTGTCTGAAAATGCTGGAGATTTGTTACTTTTCCGTGATAATAGTTATATACATAAATTGGGAAATACGAATATCAAGAGTATCAACACAGTGCTTGTAACGATTCATATGTAGCGTGGTTAGTTATGCTAACGATAAGTGAAATAATATCGATAATATTTAAGTAGCATCTCATAAGGAATTTTCCGCTCGACAAATCGTCACTCAAAAGTACTTTCCCAAAAATTATATGCGCACTTTGTGCTTAAAAAATAGATTTTTTAGGTCACTCGTCCATCTGAAAGTATTCTAAGTAATCCAAATGACAAATATTTGTAAATTTTGTAAGCAAATTTCCTGAAAATTTCGTTATGACAATTGAAATGCTTTTAACAATTTTTAATAATCACGAATTGAATACATACATTCGCCGTGTCTAAAAGCTATCAAATCGTTTAAATACTTCGGAGAATTAGAAGCACTTCACTATCAATGCGATGCTGTAAAGTGTAACCTCCCGATTTGGTTGAAATTTTAAAATTATTAAGTAGCTTCAGCTACTTTATGTGAAGACTTTGTCTGTCTGTCTGTCTGTCTGTCTGTCTGTCCGTCTGTCTGTCTGTCCGTCTGTCTGTCAGCAGGATAACGGGAGAATGGATAAAGATAATCGAAATCGGTTTTCGCCATCATACATAATACCCCAGGGGGAGGATCCTATCAACTTTTGGGTGCAACCGGACCACACCCACGGTCGCCAGGGGGTGTGGTCGGGGCAAAATGAGATTTTTGAAAAAATTGAATGTATAGATGAAATACAGTAAAATCAAGTGTTCCCGCGATGTCGTGGGAGTGCTTGGAGTGAAGTAGTCTGAAGCTACTTCCGTATGCGCGTTTGCGACGGTTTATTAAGATAAAGTCAGTGCAACTAATGTTTCAGGGCTTGTGACGATATTAATCAATCAAAATATTCGAAAATCGTTTAAAAAATGTACGATTTTTACCAAGCGGAAGAGGCAAATCAGACTCCTTTTCTCTTTAAGGGAATAATCACTCATTTTCTAATTTTCCCTAAAATATTTTGACTAATTCCAACCAGCGCACAAACTGCATGAAGAAACGTTGTTTGTATTGACTTGGATTTTAAAATTTTAAAATTTTAATTTTTAATAATTCTAAAATTTCAACCAAATCGGATGGCTACACCTTACCAGTGTTTCTGCTGTTAAAAAACACCTGAACGAAATTAGTGCACAAGTGTTCTTAAACACCACCCATCTGAAATCGGAAAAGTTGCATGAAAATGCACGAAAATCATTTACGTGCAAATAATATCGTAATATTCCAATTTTTCTAAATATTGCAATAAATTGAGAAATCCTTATGCTAGTGGATAATATTTTCCTTGACATTTTAGTGGCAAAATTTTGAAATTGAAAGTTTTGATTTATTCGATGTGTACATACCAAACTTCAAGTCGATCTGATACATTAGAAGTTTATATAACTGAATCTTACCCCCGTTTGACAAGGTAGCAAAATATAAAATTTCTTGAAAGATGAAATTCCCTGCATAAACAGCATTTTCTGTTATTTTATGCATTCTTGTGCATTTTTTTGCATTTTCATGCGTTTTAATTATGTGCACACAAAAACAAACACTGCACCTCACACAATCCCATTGTACAACGTAGAATTCTTCTAAAGTTCCTAAGTAATTAAACCACTTGATTCCATTTACGGCGAATATATTCAATTCGTGATTATCACAAACTCATAAGAACACTTCATAAATACTACTTACATACAATGCATATGTATGTACCTACATACATACGTACCTGAATCTGCACGTGCAAAACAAATCCAGCAGAAAATCAGGCAATGTACATATTTTTGCATACGTTCTCGCATTCGCCCAGATTTTATCATTACGATCGCGCACACATTGTGCCACTCACCTCATTTGCATATTTTGACACATTGGCAAGGAGAGACATTGACTTTAATCCACATGGAAATCCCGTATCGCTATATGTAAATGGACAGAGATTTATGCAAATAAGGTGTCACGCACAAGTTAGCGGATATGTAGTAGTGTCCCTGGCTGTCGATGGTGGTTCCCACGCTCATTTTTTATCCAGCACCTTCTGGTATTACCATTTCTCGTGCGTGCCAAAAACCTTGGCATGCACTATAAACTTTGTTATGGACCAAGTAAGTAGTTTTTAATGATTTAAATAATTCCCTTAAAAACTCCAGAGCACATCATTAGAAGAAATTGTGAAAAATGGTGATTATTAAATTGATCCCACACATTTACAGTGTGGCATAAAATGTTGCATTCTTGCGTGTATGCAACTTCGTAATTTTTTTAATAGAGGAGCATTTTTAGCAAAAAGTCTTACTAATTTTGCATAAATGCTACCACACAGACAAAAATTTTGCACTAGCTGCTCACCGTCAACAGGGTCAAGTTTGTAAGTATTTCGTTGATCATGGAGAATTTCACAATTAATTCGATAAACTCGAAGCCGTGGCCTTTTGATTACGAAAATCCACCAAAATTTGTTCCCTACTGGTTCGAAAATGTGGATACGTTTCAATGGAAGGAAATCATGATACGAAATCCGAACGTTTCCTGGTACGCGTGTGCAGTTTATCTAACGGTCGTGTTCTCACTGCAGGTATGAGATTTGTATTTTTTTTAAATTTTCAAATTATAAGATTTTAGTATTCTTAAATTTTAAAATTTTACTTTTATTTTCGAAATCACGAGATCAAATCGAGATTTAGCCTTATAAATAAAACTTGAATATACAGGGTGGTTTAAATGTTTCGCTACAATTTATGCATAATATTTCAATGTGAAAAAATCGTAAATTTTCATTCATTTTGTCTCTGAAATTTGGTGAACATTTAAAAAAAACTTGGTCATCAGTGTTTTATCAGTTTCCATTAGATAATAATTAATAAAAATCTCAATCCAAGATCTTGCACTCTAAATAAAAATAAATAAAATTTACTCAAGGATATGTAAGTAAAACAAGTGGGTGAAAAACCCAAAAGGTAAAAATTACCCAAAGTAGTGTCAACCCTTTGGACAAATTTTGCACAACAGTTGAATAAATTTTTCATTTTGGTTGTGTCAACCTCTTTTTTTACTCAACCTTGCGTAAATTGTATTTACTCAAGGTTGAGTAAAAAAAATAAAGTAAAGTAAATTTTATTTACTTTGTTTAGTTTTGTTTTGTTTGTGTACTTAATGGAGATTTAGGGTCTTTTTCCATTGTTACAGCGTTACATTTAAACTACTTTATAATTGAAAATGTACCTGAATGCATTTGTGTCTACCAGCATTACATGAAAGGTCGTCCACCGGCGAACGTGAGGAAGGTAATGGTCGCGTGGAACTCCTTTCTGACCATATTTTCTGCCCTTGGATTCTACCGGGTTGCGCAAGAACTTCTCTTTAATTTATTTCAAACGGATGGTTACTACCGGACGGTTTGTGTCAGGTGGGCAAAAAGAACCAGGATAACGTAGCGTCAATATCATTGTCAGCGTAATTCGATTAGGGCTGTCAAATCCGTTTGCTTGGAAATCTAAAAATCCGAATTTCGAATAATTCGAAATTCGGATTTTTTTTTAGAAAAGAAGCGGTTTCCCTAATTTTGTATTCAGTTTCACTCCACAAGTCGTTGAGACAAGTATGAATTTTTTTAAAATGTGTGCATGCTCAGATCTCTTCTTTATGATAAACAGATTCATTCAAGCTCATATTTTTTGAAATTTCTCGTTTTTTTACTACATCAACAGAAAAATATGCTCAGAATCTACTCATGTACATATGTACAGAGTCAGAAAATTTGAAAAAATGGTAAATTTAATAAATTCCACGTTGGAATTGAATATGACAATGAAACCGTCTCTGTCGTCCCTAGTCGTTCAAATATCAAGGAAATTAAAAATAATTCGAAATAAATAAAATCCGGATTTTAGTCCCGATGAAAACGGATAATCCGTCATCCGGGTTTGAAAATTCGGAACGGATTTGAAAATTCGGAACGGATTCGGCACACCTAATTTCTACGTCGTGAAATATAAATTTTAATTCTGCACATAAAATTTCAGACAGGGTCGCAACCTACCAGCCGACTTTTGGGGATTGTTATTCGTCTTGTCCAAATTTTTAGAATTTGGCGACACAATGTTTATCGTGCTGAGAAAGCAGCCCTTAATTCCCTTGCAATATTATCATCACTGCATCGTGACCCTTTTCGCCTGGAAGCTGTACCCCTGGGGGGAACCCATCCTTGCCCACTATTCCGCCATAAACTATGGCGTCCACGCCGTTATGTATGCTTACTTCGTCGCCAGGGGGCTCAAAATTCACGTCCCCGAAGCATTAGCCATGTCAATAACGACGCTACAAATTGCACAAATGATTATCAATACGGGAAACAATTTTTACACGATGGCCATGTTATGTAAGCACATTTAATTAACTTCTTATCGAAGTAAACTCTTAATAAGGGATCCTTTTTTTCAAGTTACACCCGGATTTTATAGCGAGTTGTACAAAAAAAAATCAAGCTAAAAATTATGAATTATTTACGTAGCGCTGATCATTCCGTTGAATGGACCCTTTGAATAAAAATATTGGAGGTCAAAGTACCCACGAGCACCTTGGTTTTCGCCTCGTAGAGGGAAAGAGAGACAAAATTTAATCAAAAATTGAACCTTGCCGCCAATATTTTCCTTATAAGGGACCATTCAACATAATGATGTGGGCCACGTAATTCCTCATTTTTGGCTTATTTTTTGATATAACTAGGTACACAAGCCCGGTGTGGCTTGTAAAATGGTTCCCTTGTAAGTGAAGCGTTTTAATGATTTGTTGGCATTTTTCTCCATGCAGACCTTGGCCATCCCTGTAGCAGACATCCCACCTCCATCACGTGGAGTTTAGTGGTTTACATCTCTCTCTGGATTCTCTTTGCGAAATTCTTCCTGGCCAGATACTTCTCGCAGAAGAAGGGAGCCCACAAAAAAGTGGACTGAATGTTCAGTTCAGGATCTGGAAGCAAATACCGAACTTCCGTTGATTCTGCTTCTCTCAAAATATGTTTTAAATTACTTTATCATAAGACCGGATTTTCAGACTGAGTAAACCTGTATTGTGGCAAATAAAAATATCTGACTAATCTATATTATAAGAGGCAATGTCTGTTGGCAACGGAAGTGAAAGTAAATCTGTCTGTGACGGAAGTTTATCCGTGACGGAAGTGAAAGTAGTGAAAGTCAAGTTTCGAATGGCGCGAAAATTCAAAAACTTTAATTTAATATATAAATGTTGATTATCACGTTTTTTATATGATGGTGGTTATTATGTAGTTACCTGACGATACGGGGTTATCGGGATATTGCGGCCTACTGGGGTACTCGAGGCTTTGCTGCCTGATGGTGGTTATCGGGGCGTGGCAGCCAGGTGGGGTTATCGAGGCTTTGCTGGCTGATGGTGGTTATCGGGGCGTGGCAGCCAGGTGGGGTTATCAAGACTTTGCTGGCTGATGGTGTTTATCGGGGTGTGGCAGCCTGGTGGGGTTAACAGGGTGTGGCGGCCTGATGGAGGTTATCGGGGTGTGGCGGCCTGGTGGTGGTTATCAAAGCGTGGCGACCTGGTAGCGGTTATGTTGGGAGTAATTACTAATTATCTGATTTTGGTTATCTTGGGGGCTTTCTGATGATGGTTATCTGGTGGTGGTTATCAGGGTGTGGCTGCCTCACGGTGGTTATCTGGGAGTGGTTATTTGATGGATTGTCGTTTGGGTGTGGTTGCCAATGCTGATCATTGCCAATGATGGACTAGGCTGGTAAAGATAGCCAAGTGAGGTGCCTGACAAACTGCCAGTGGCACTGCCATTGCCAATGGCAGACTAGGCTGGTAGATATGGCAGACTAGGCTGGTAGAGATGACTGAGCCAAATGGGTGACATTTAATGGTACACTTTAACTTGCGTTGCAAATTGCTTTCACTTCCGTTCGCGTCAAATTGTTTTTTTTAAAATAAACATCTACGAAATATTTAACTGGTGAAATTTTGATAATCTAATCATCTCTCGCCCGGCGGGAGACGGGCTTATTCGCTAGTACTAAATAAGGGTTACATACACTCAAAACAAAAATTTGTCGAATCAACACCGCCGGTGTCAATATATGACTTAACCGACTTGGTTAAAATATTGAATCCGAGTTATGATGATTTTGAAACCGGTAGTTATAATGTTATGACCGGACGGAAAAATTTCATTACCACTGGGAATCACAATTGTAACCAAGGCGGTTAAGTCATATATTGACACCGTTTTGTTTTGAGTGTAGTTAATTACTATTGGGCAGTCGCTGTATTGTTATTTTGTAGCAATGTATCAAGAAATTTATCAGTGTGTGGAATTGATGTATAGGGTGGTTTATTTACATAAGTGTCACGCTACAATAGAAAACTTGGTAAATGGGAAAGCCCCTCAGTCCCCATTAGTTATGGATTTGGGATTGAGATTTTTATTTATTATTAAGGGCAGTACATTAAGCTTGTCATCGATTTTCGGGAAATTTTGATCGGTACCCCCCTTTGGGCGTGACTTATTTATATGCCCCATGTTCTAATTAACATGGGAAAGACACGATACCTTTTCAACTAACCACCACTCCACCCCCTTCAAATCGATCACATGCTTCCTGCACACTCCATTCTTACACAACATTGATGAAAACTTTCTTAAAATTTTGAATTTCAGCGACAAAATTTCATTAAGTACTGCAAATTTATGAGTTTTTCCGATTCCAAAATTTTTCATTGGCCCTTTACACACATACATAAACCACCCTGTCAGTGTTTCGGGTGCAAGTAACCACCTGCAAGAAATAACCGCAAGAAATTGGTTTCTTGCAGCTATTTTTACCCGCAAGAAATGCAAAGTGCAAGAAACTCCTTCCCGCCGCCATAGTTCTTCAGGCGCGTCACTAGATGGCGCTGTGTTTCTTGCACTGTCTTGCATTTCTTGCACCTTGCATTTCTTGCATTTCTTGCTTTGCAGTGCAAAAATTGAGAAAAACCCGCAAGAAACGAAACACTGCACCCTGTATAAGTAACGCATATTTGCCGTGTGTGGAAACTTGGCATTCTAAATTGTTCGCAGGCGCAACACAATTCGGGTAAATTAACTGAGGACATATAATTCTATGCCTTTTTTACAGGAAGATGCATTATGTAAATACGTAACTTGACATACGTGTTATTCGAACGAACGAGTTAAAATTAGCCGGATTTCACTCTATTCTCTACCTATCAAAAAGTTATAATTTCTCGGAATGGATAAGCAACATGAGTTTGCCGTGCAAGAGAGGGATCGCATACCTGTGTAGACACTCTAAATTATTCAAATGCATGTTGAGCGAAAGTGAGTTTATTTACTTTCTTCGAAACATCATGCCCCTTTCTACTCAAAGTTGAATAACTTGTCCAACACACATCCGTGTTCTTTTAATGAACGAGCTAAAATTATCCGAATTTCCACTTTATTTCCACAGTCCATGTTCAATTAAGTTTCATTCGTTGGGTGACACATATATTGACATGAATTTTACTGTCGTTAAATACAAGATTGATGTAATGCAATTAGTATTTAAATGTCCCCTCATTCGCCACAAAGTATCTGCACCTAAAAATAGCATGTTTTTAAATCTCGATTTTAGTACTTTCAGACCCATTTCGATAGGTAAATAAATTTATAATTGTTTTAAACAGTGAAATCACTTTTAACTGGAAGCTGAATATCTGCCGTGTTTGTGAAACATGATTTTACTGTTCTAAACAAATTATTTATTTCTTTATTTCTCGATAAAACCTTGTCAAAATAATTGAGTGTAAGCGCTAGACGCTTTTTATTTCCTGGAAGTTGAATAACTTCACATATGTATCAATACGTCGAATGAACGATTTAGAGTTAACTACACTCACACATAAGCATTTTGCCACTCTGTATACCTGAATTAATGATGAATGAATAACTCAAATTCAGACATATGCATGTACATATTTCCCTTCCACTTTATGCGCCTCTGTTCTCCGACATATCGCGACAAATTTTGCTGTTATCAAGGAAAGAATTGATGCATTACAAGTGCCTAGCACCATCATACATACAAAGTCGATAGCAATTATGTTCGTCTTGAATTTGCATGTTTTACTAAATTTCAACTACTATAACTGCGGCGATAACAAAGTACAAGAAATTCCGAAAACTGTTCGATACCTTCAATTTGATAAATTGATAATGGTTCTACAAGCTTGTTAAATCAGGAAAATCGCCAATCGGGTAGTATATTGATTACCTCTTCGATTAGGACGCCTCAAATTCCTAGTAAAAAAATTTAGTGGATAAACTAATGTGCATGTCTGGACAACGAATGGCCGATGGAATTCGAAATAAAGTTAACCATCTCTTCGCTTTTTCACTAAGGCTTCCGTGTAATCCGATGATTTAATAAAATTCCTATTTAAATATCAAATCTCCCAAAACTCCGATTTAACCTTCTGTATACATCTTTAACAGGTTATCCAACCCTATAAAAGCCCGTCGCATTTTACAGAATGATTCAACCTTCACGTATGTACACTGATTCGGGCGATCGACCCGTTTTCCCAATTACGTTGCCGTGCAATTACCTTAAAAAAAGCTTGGTCAAAAGATAATTTTAGCCCCAAAATCAAAATTGGCTCAGGCTATTTCCATTCCTCAGAACGAAACCGATTATCCCCACGATTAAACAGAAGTCTCCATCCATTCTTCTAGTTCTGACTTATAAATAGTTCATTAATACTTCTAAGATACTTGACTTAACAATTATCCCCAGTCACGTTAAAACTCAGTGTGGAGGAGTAAAATTAAGTTGTCTTTCCAGCTTGGATTTTGGCATAAAAATCATAGCTGTGTCATTGACACAACTTTTATGCCATCATTTCCGTTGAAATTTCCTAAATAGTCGCCTAATTGAAACTCTGTCAAGAAAAGAGTGGCAATAAAATTACGGCCGAGCAGCCTAATCACCTCGCTGCACGATTTTAATAACCATCCCTTTTAGACAGGAGTTAGTTAAATCAGCCGGAATCCGGCTGCCGGATTACAGTAATTCATTGAAACGACTCAATTTCTTGTATTTTTATTACATACATAAATATCGATTTGTTGACTGTTTTCTTGGAATTTCTGCTCTAAACGATGGTGAAAACTGTGTCCACTTTCATACAAGGATTTAAAGCAGCCTAAACATTATACTTTACTCGATTTTAGTTAATACCCTGTCCTGCTAAATACAAGGTGCATACAAACATAGTCAAATTAAGAACCAACCAGATTACGATAATTGAAATGACGATTTTCCTTTTGCTTTTGAAATAAGATTGCTGGTTTCCTAACTTTATTCGCCATTTAAAAACTGGTTTCTCTTAGAAACGCTGGTGAAAACTAGGGTGTCCACTTTTTCCAAAAAGCTTTAAAAAATTCAAACTTTCAAAATGGATAACTTTTTAAGAAAACTTGCCAGCCCAACTTTTCACTCAGAAACTTCCTATCTTCCCGCGATGACCTCGACCACTAAGTGGTTGGTAAAGTCGTTTGCCATCCCGATAATTTCAGAAATTGGAGGCCAGGGTTACTCTATCATTAAGAAACCAAAACATTGGGCCATCTACTTTTTGACCTCTTTAATATATTTCTTGCACAATGTCACGTATGCGTACTGGTTTTACGAAAATATCTACAAATCAAATGGGACCGAAAGTCTTCAGGTTTGGCAAAAAGTAATTTCATTCTTCTTTCTTAGTAAGCACAGTATGGTAATTGGGATCCACTTGTGTCTCCTCTTCCGGAGAAGGGAACTGCTTCAAGTGATGAAAACTTGTACCTGGATTGAGACGACGTGCAGGGGTGTAGGTGGGTAGCAACTTTGCAACTTTATAATTTTGTTCGTAGTAACCGGTCGTAGATTCAAAATTTGTAACTTGACCGTTTGGTACGTTAAGAATTTTTAATTTGGTCGAACAGTACCTTCAGAATTTTTAATTTGACATAACCGTATATTGAAAATTTTCAATTTGACGGAACCACACCATCAAAAATTTTAAATTGCCCGAAATGTACCTTTTAACAATTTTAATTTAACAATCTAAAATTTAAATAATAGACGTAAGACACAAGTCTTTACTTGTATACTTTTTTTTATGTATATTTTGATAAAAGAGAGGATTCGTCTAATTAAATATCAACCACTAGCTAATTAATTGGCTCTAAAATCATAAATCGTGCAAATTTCAGCCGGTGGGAAGTCTCATCTTATCAAGTGGCAAATTTCAGGCTAATCAGTGAGGTGTTAAATTTGACCCTTTAAGATTTTACAATTTTCATTTCTAACCGCACCGAACCCGAGCCATTGTTTACAAATATTTTATCCGGGGTTCGTACGGCGCCAGAATCTTGCTTATAATATTCTCGTATCTGACAAAAAGCGACCGGAATCTTGCTTTCAAAATTGTTTTTATCTTCAGTGACCGTACCCGAATTAACCCTTGTTAATTGTTCAGTCCAACCGAAAGGTGCAATATAGAGTTCGAGCACCCTTCGGTTTCGAATAAAACAAACAATAAAAGTTCGACGACAAGTGTGGAAAGTAGTTACTGATTTTGAGATTTGCATTAAATTTCAGGGGCATCAGGATACACGAAACTCAGCATCCTTTCCCACCTGGATGCTTCAAAGTTTTCATTATTTGCGGTCCCTATTGTGCTCGGAACGCTGGGATTGTTCCGACCCTGTATGCCACCCTCAATCGCGAACACCTTAATCCTCGAATGTCGGACTGGATGGGGTGACCAGGACGCTGAGTTGTGGGTCCGTCTAATCAATGGTCTGGTGCAGGGGTCCGTCGGGCTATCGGTAGCAGCAGTTATTGTCACCACGATCAAAAGAATTTTCCTTTATCCGGCGGTAATGGTGGAATTGTGGATCAAAACGATTGAAAGGTGAGACTGAACCTTTAAACTGTAACGACGAAATAGTCGTTTTATAAGAGATGGTTTAATTCGGGAGTACCACAAAAGTCGTCCTGAAAAATCGTGGTCATGGCGCGGAAGGAAGACAATTGTCGTTTCTAGGAGGTCATTGATTTTCACCATTTTCTCTCCGCGACCTAAAATTTATTGCAATTTTGAAGGATTTCTCCTATGACAACACAATGCTAAATTCGAAGATCTTCTTAACAAAAATTTGGATATTTCCCTATACAACTCAATGTTAAATTTTTGATTTTGCAGTTTTTCGAGTTTTATTAAAAACTCCTGAATTTCTCCTCCTGCGTCATGACCACAACATACTTATGACGTCCCCGATTTAATGCATTTTCTTGCCGTTAATCATACACGTTAAAGGGTTAAAAGTTCCCATGGATCACGTGTGGTGACCCAGTCTGATAAAGCCCGATCAACAACATGAAATGTCAACTGTTTACATTGTGGTCGCTTATTCATAAAAAATGTGTTTCCATGTTATTAAGAAAAGCTAGATGATCGATTTATATACAAAGTAAAGGAAGTGGAATTTGTGTCGTTGTTTTTTAAATTCACGACAGGTTTTTGATTGAAAACGAAAATCCATCAAATTCCAATCTCACAAATTAAATCCCTAACTTTGTAAAACCATAATTCAGATTTGGATAATGGCAAAGAACGTAAACTTTTATGAAAAATTTCTCTTAGCGGTGGCTATCCTATCTTACCGTTCACTTTAACATGGATCTGATCCGATTCAAAAGTCGGATCAGGTCCAAGTTATATACAGAAATGTTACACTTCAATTGGCATTCATCTTAATTTTTCACCTTAATCAAAATGTTGCAATATTTAGAAAACTGGATCATGGCTTAGCGGGATTTCGTGTCGCCCAAGTATTCCAAAACCTGACCAACTCCGTCATGCGGAAGCCTCTCAACAACCTCTTCGTCTTGCTGTGCATCGTGTGCCAAGTAATCTCGCTCTACGTGATCATCACATCCTGGGCAAATATCTCTCTTGGCGTGTTCGCATTCTTCTACTTGATGGGATTCGATTTCTTCATAATGATCCATGTCACGCTGCATTCTCAGAGCAAATCGTATGTTGCGAGCTTAAAGTTTGCAGAAAATATGAAAAGTCTACAGTCCCGAAATCCATGGTTTAGGAAATTTTTGAAGTCGTGTCCCCCCTTAAAAGTGGGGATGGGCGATGGCAAGTTTTTCGATGCGTTATCAGCATTCGTCATTTTCCAGTTTTGCGTTGACAGGCTGATTAACTTGTTGCTGATGGAGAAATAACTTGATGTTCGGGATTATAGCAATGAAAATTATAGCGTATTGTATGTGGCTTAAGTCAATGTAGCTTCATTCTTACATTGAATTCGAATAAATGCTGATCCTAAGCCTAATAAGCTTAATGGATAATTTAACTCACAATGCAAGTCTTTTACGTGTACAATTCAGATCTCAATGGGACCAATTTTATTTTGTTCACCACAAAAAATAAGCATACCCGTATTTTTTCATTTTTTCTAATGCGCTAAATTGAGCGCTTGGCGCGAATTTTAAACTGTTTTCCAGCCAAAACCTCGATTTTTAAGAATTCTGTAAATTTTCTAATTTTCGCGCGAATCTAAAAATTTGAAAACATGTCTCTTCAGAATGACGTAGTTTTGATTTATAAAAAATCCACTTGCAATGGTTTTTGAAAATTTAAAAATTTGAAAGAGTTTGTAATTTTAATGAATTTCAAAAACTGGCAAAAAATTCTGAAATTTAAATTTCAAGACAATTGGATTTTTTATAAGTCAGGTAAATCATTCTGAAGAGAAATGTTTTCGAATTTTTGGATTCGCATCAAAATTCGAAAATTTACAGAATTTTAAAAAACCGAGTTTTTGGCTGGAAACCGTTTAAAATTCGCGCCAAGCGCTCAATTTAGCTCATTATGAAAAATGAAAAAAGACGGGTATGCTTATTTATTGTGGTGAACAAAATAAAATTGGTCCCAACCAGATCTGAGTTGTACACGTAAAAGACCTGCATTGTCAGCGCAGCTAATTCTATGCCTCTTTTTTACTTGAAGATGCATTACGTACGTATGTATGTTTGTAACTTGACAAACGTGTGCTTCAAAGGAACGAGTTAAAATTAGCCAGACGAAGCTCTATTCTAGATATCGAAAAGTTATAATTTCTCCGAATCTATAAGCAACATTAGTTTGCCGTGCGACAGGAGAATTGCATACACTCTAAGAAATTGGGTGATAGGCTTTGTCACCGTGCGGGTGGAGATAGCAAGGATCACCGTAATGGTGGTGGTAAACCTATCACCGAAATTTGTCACCATTGGTAACAGCCACTACCATCGTGTCCCTCTGCAGGTGGGGGCTTGGTTTGTTATACATATGTATTCCATGCATCAGGCACAAATAGAGCAGGAGACTAATTGTAAAATTACAAAATTTATATGTAACATGCCCAAATAGTTCTCGTGAAGTTATTGGCACAGGTAAAAAAATTAAAACGTTAAAATTCAGGTAATTTTGGCCAAGTTAATTTTATTTTGTTTCGAGTTGGGGAAAAGTTCGGACGTGGACACCGAGATTCGCCTGGATGACGAAGGAGAGGCAAACATTGACGAAGTATTTTGGCGAGGTAACGTTTTCATAAAATTTCTTTCTTTTCAACCGGTACATCGTTAATTAATATATTTTTTATCTTACTGTTCTAATTTATAATTTAATTTCTTATAATCCGCCAACTGTAATCCATAACTGACGAATGTGTGACGAATTTGTACTTCAAAAAATTGAAATATTTAAATAAAGCAATAAATTGTGATAAAATGTATCATTTTTGTATAAAGTAGAGATATTATTTATATTTATCTCATCACCAGACAGTGACAAGGCGAGCTAAATATGGTAGTCGTGTATCACCGAACGGTGACAGAAAATGTCGATTATTCGGTAGACGTCTACCACCACGATGGTGACGGCACTTTTTATCACTGCGCGGTGGTGAGTGACCACCATTGTGGTACATATTGTCACCGCTCGGTGATACATAGAATGGTGTTAAAATTTCTTAGAGCGAGAAGCAGCCGAACGTCCAAACTTGATTCGTTTAATTCGTTTTCCTTTGTTGGCTGATACATCACTTTTTACAGGAAGCTGAATATCTGGCGTGTTTGTTAAGCATGGCGTTCCAATGCATTATTTACATATCTCTCGATAAAACCATGTGAAAATACTTCATCGTAAGCCCCATACGCTTTTGATTTCCTAGAAATTTATTAACTTCACATTCATACATGTACGTCGCATAAACGAATTAAGGTTAACTACACACCACTCACACTCACACATTTTGCCACTTTACATGAATTTATAACCCGAATTCAGACATACACGTATTTCTCTTCCACTTTATTTGCCTTTGCTCTCGGACATGATTAGTTTTGCCGTTGTCAAGTATAAAATTGATGCAATATGTACGTATGTTCGCCTAGAATTCGCATGTTTTGTTAGATTCAGATTGTTATACAGGGGGGTTTAAATGTCAGGCTACAATGAAAAATTTTTCAATGGGAAAAATTCGTAAATTTCCATTAGTTACGGATTTGAGGTTGAGATTTTTATTAATTTTTACCATAACTTATCGAACACTGATGACAAAATTTGTAAAACATTGAATTTCAGAGGCAAAATTTCTGTAACTAATGGAGATTTGCGAATTTTTCCCATTGAAAAATTGTCCATTGTAACCTGACATTTAAACCACCCTGTATATTACTGTGCCGCTGACGAAGTACAACAAATTCTGAAAACTATTCGATAGTGTTAATTTGATAGATGAATACAAATATAATCATTCTGCACTCAAAATAAGGTAGTTATGAATCATTACCATGCGGAATGACTATGTGGCTCTATCACGTCGGTTATGATTTGTCGTAGAGATGGTAATAATAAGTTCAGGGAAATTCAAATTCATTACCAAATATTAAGGAAGTGAATACCATCATGTATTAAATTTGAATTCCCCTGAACTTATTATTACCATCTCTACGACAAATCGTAACCGACGTGATAGAGCCACATAGTCATTCCGCATGGTAATGATTCATTGCTACTTTATTTTGAGTGTATTTGCTCGTTTAAGCAGTAAAATATCTAATCGGGTAGTATATCGATCGACTACCTATTCGAATCGGACGAATCAAATTCCTAGTAAAAAACTTTAATTGATAATCTCATTTGCATGTCTTGATAAAGAATTTCACATAGCGTTCGAAATATGGCCCAAAAAGGCCAATATTCTCCTCGCTTTAGCCCTAAAACTTCTTTATAATCCAATTATTAAACAAAATTCCTATTTAAATATCTAATCTCCAAAAACTGTCCGATTTAACTTTCAGTCTACATAATTTACAAGTTATCCAACCCTACATATAAAAGCTAGCCACATTTTACAGAATGCTTCAACCTCATAGAATCGACCCGTTTTCCAAATTCGTTTTAATGCGATTACCTTAAAAAAGGTTCGACTACCTGACCAAAAGATAATTTTAACCCCAAAATCAAAATTGGATTAGGATATTCTCCTTCCACATAACGAAACCGATTATACAGTGTCGGGCAGATGTCTACGTCCACATAGTCGCGTCAATTTCATTTTCAAATTGTCACTGAACTACTGAACCAATTTTCATCATTGATATATCAAATTCTCACAAATTTAACGTAATTTCATAAAACATATGAGTTATTTCTGAAAATTCTGGGAAAACTGAGAATCATAGTGCAGAGCGAGAGAGGATGAAATTTGAGCGGACAAAAGTCTACGTCCACTTCACTTTAATTGTCAACAACAAAAATCTCTCCAATTTATAAAATCAGGTAACTTAATAAATCTATCAATAACATATGCCGCATTAATTTTTAAATAATTTTCTTCCAGAAAAATATGATGGCGTCGACACGCAAGGAAATTCCTATCGCTATTCGAGATCTTGTCATTCAGGACTGGAAGGGTGGACAAAAAGGGGGGCTGTCGCAGAGACAAATAGGGACCAAGTATAAATTAGCAAGGACAACCATCCAGACAATCATTAAGAACTTTAGAGCTAATGGTTCAGTCCAAAACAAGGTCAGAAGTGGTCGAAAACCGATTTTGGCTCACCGAGAAGTACGCCACGTGCTCAACAAAGTCAACGTTACACCCTCACTTAGTGCTCCAAAGCTATCTACCGAGATCAAGGAGATGTTCGGCAAACAGGTTAGTCCTATGACCATCCAAAGAACACTGAATAAGGGAAATTTGAAATCCCACAGAGCAGTCCGGAAGCCTCTTATTGTACCGAGGAATGCAACCAAACGAGTGAAGTTTGCCAGAGACCACATTTCCAAGCCACAAACATTCTGGGACATATTTTATGGACTGACGAGTCAAAGTTCAATGTCTTTGGGTCAGATGGGCGTCGTAGAGTGTGGAGATATCCAAAAGAAGCTTTGAATCCAAAAAATCTCAACCCCACAGTTAAGCACGGCGGCGGGTCGGTAATGGTGTGGGGATGCATGGCTTCAAGTGGGGCAGGAAAAATGGAATTTATTGACGGAATTATGGACCAATACAAGTACCAGGGAATACTTGACCGTAATATCCAGGAATCTGTTCGAAAACTTGGACTTGGACGACGATTTGCCTTCCAACAAGACAACGATCCGAAACACTCTGCCAAGTCCACCATGGAATACTTCAAGAAAAAAAATTCCGAAGCTAGAATGGCCTCCCCAATCTCCAGACTTGAATCCCATTGAGCATCTGTGGGACCACATTGAAAGAGAAATAAGAAAACAATCTTTTTCAGGAATTCCGGGCCTTAAATCCAGAATTCGTGAAGTTTGGGAAACCATTTCTGAAGATGTGACCAAGAATTTGGTAAACTCAATGACTTGACGCCTTGAAGCCGTCCTTAAAGCGAACGGAGGCCCAACCAAATATTAAAAATTAATTGTTATAACATTCCTTATAAATTACAGTTTTTTTTGTATGTTTTCTCTGACTGGACGTTGACTTTTGTCCATCCAATTGTTTTCATTTTGAATTAAAATACATCTCTGGCCTAAAATAAATTTTTTAGCGGAAAACTAATAATGTGCTATGAAATTACGTTAAATTTGTAAGAATTTGATATATCAATGATGAAAATTGGTTCAGTAGTTCAGTGACAATTTGAAAATGAAATTGACGCGACTATGTGGACGTAGACATCTGTCCGACACTGTATCCCCAACCATTAAAAATTCGTGTTAGAAGTCTCTACACTCTTAG